AATCATTAACAGTCTAAATTTGTTGTTGATGCTGTCTTGTTGACCGTAGTTCATATCTCCTTTTATGCGAATTATACATTGTATAGGACATTTTATGGAATTATAGAAATAAGAATGTGGTATGATTGTCAATGAGACAACTCTCCACAAGAGACCATGCAAATGACAATGAAATAAACAACTATAGGTCACCGTACGGCCTTCAACAATGAGTAGAACCCATACCGTATAGTCAGCTATAAAAGGCCCCGAAATGACAAATGTAAAATAATTCAAACGAGAAAACTCCTATTTTATGTACAAAACAATGAACGAAAAACAAATATGACCTTCAGCAACAAACGATAACCACTGAATTACAGGCTCCTGGCTTTGGACAGGCACATACAGAATGTGGCGGGGTTAACTAGTTTGAAGGCGCGCCAACCCCTAACCTGGGACAGTGGTATAACAGTACAACATAAGAACAAACTACAAAGATGCTAAGGAAGGATAAGTAGTTCCAGCCCCACAAGTAGCACCTGTCATGTTGCTCTTGAAACAAAATGAATTCGGTAATAAATCGTATATTTCCTAAAATGAGAATAGACGTACGGTTGTTAGATAGTGGATGTAACATTTGGAATTTCTGATACATGTATTCCATAACGATTAACAAAGTCGAGATGATATCCAACATAAGCATTGAGTTTATAAGCTTAATTGCAGCAATCCTTTATCTTGGGAATTATTAAAGGAAACACAGTCAATCTATTGAATGTCATATCAATTGCAATGCTTCGTGTTTAAATGTTTTATGCAAGTCATTTTGTATTTAGTTTGTCTTAGGATTGGGTTGTTTTCACTAAGGAAATGACAATGACACATTGAGTATTTGTTGAACTCCATATTTTATACATTTCCATAATTGCACGATTGGTTTGGTAAGTCTATTTCTTACTGACAAGTCATCATACATAAATAAACGACATGACTGTAGCTAAGTTTGAACTCTTTTGCAATTGTTTATAGTTGAATTAAAAGATGTTGGCTAGCATCATGCATTGATTTCTGACGGAAAATTATAATAAAATGCACTAAAATCTAAAATTTCCATAAGGAATATTAACTCCACTTGTTTATTAATTTAAAAATGAAAATAATATTTGTATCTAAACCAAATCAGAAAATAGCATATGTAGTCTTATCAAGTTTTAAAAGTATTTATAAGTTATTTTCTTAGCGTTAAATTAATTCATTTTTTCAGTCACAATAAAAAGAAGATTTGGTATGATTGCCAATGAGATAACTATACCCATCGAGACCAAAGGACGAGGATATACACAACTATAGGTCACCGTACGGCCTTCAACTATACGTAAATTCCATACCGTATAGTAGTAAGCCATAAAGGGAACCGTCATAACAAATAGCTTTATAGGTAAACAATGTCCTTTAAGTCATTTCTCGGGCAATTATGTATTCATAGAAAAGTACGTCGATGCGAGATACAACTAGAGCTGTAACTCTCTCAGGCATTAGTGAACGGTTTGTGACAGTTCTGTTTTAGCTCTGTTTAGTTTCATGTTCGTAGACTTTTGAGCGAAACTGATGAAGGTCATCACAAATAAGACGCACTAACATTGGTATTATAGTTGCGCTTTTTTTATATCTGTAGAAATGCCTTACAGTTTAGTATCATGTTCGTAGACTTTTGAGCGAAACTGATGAAGGAGCACCTGAGATCACCCCCAGTTTTTGGTGTGGTTCGTGTTGCTTAGTCTTTAGTTTTCTATGTGTGTCATCTGTACTATTATTTGTCTGTTTGTCTTTTTATATTTAGCCATGGCGTTGTCAGTTTGTTTTCGATCTATGAGTTTGACTGTCCCTCTGGTATCTTTCGTCCCTCTTTCATCACAAATAAGGTACACTTACATAGGTATTTTACGCATATTTTCATCTGTAGAAATGTCTTAAAATTTTTAAAAAGAGAGAAAAGATACAAAGAAGGCATTGAAAAATTTGAAGAAAACAGACAATACCAGGGAAATAAAAAGGACGAAAGGACAATAATCACATAGCAAACTAAAGACTGAGCAATACGAACTCCACCAAAAATGTGAGCTCAGGTGCTCCGGAAGGGTACACACATGTACCAAGTAGTTCCTGCTCCACATCCGGCGTGTTGCTAAAGCAAGTACAAATCCGATAATAAGTCGCTTACAGTAATAACACAATCGAAAAGATGAGGATTAGATTGTGATTACGACAAATCGAACCTATCCGTAATTATATGTGACACAGATGGAGAGAGAAAAAGACGAATTCCATGTAAGATGAAAACTAAGAATAGCCGCCTATATACTAAGAATTTGAGAGACGAACCACTGTTTGCAAGGTAAACACGTTATCATATGCTAGCATCACCTCTAGTTTCTTGAATTTAATTTTATCATTAACCGCACACTATTGTATTATTTCTTTAATTCAAAACCGGGACAACGCTATGGTAGTCATAAGACTGTTTTACTTGGATGGAGAGTTGTCTCATTGGTACTCATACCACATCTTCTTATATCTATAAGATGTGAAATCTCATCAACGTTATTAATGCCGGACAACTAAATGTAAAAGACATGGTCGTAATATACCTAAAACATGTTTAAAATAACAAAACTTTAATATAAAGAGCGTTAACAATTAAAATCTTTCGAATTTCCATAACTGTTGCATACAGAATCAGTACAATCACTGGCTTTCTCGCGACGTTTCGAAGACAGTTTTCGTTTTCCTTTTATGGAATGATTTTTTTGATTATGTGTCGGAATTGAATCTGTCCGTGAATCTGTCCGTGTCTCTTTTTCGACTGAAAAAGTTATAACCGGTTCTTTTTTTGAATCCTCATTTCTGTCTTCAAATACAAATTCTGTGTCGTCTGTATCAGACTCTGAGTCACTCGATAATCCTCTAGATTTATGCTTACTTGATGTATTGTCTAAATGTTTTGAAGGCTTTTCGGATTCGTTTAACGAGAGCAAACGATAAGTAACACGCTTTTTGATTCGTTGTCCTAAGTCAGATAAATTTCTTTGCATTGCTTTATCTGCATTACGAATTGTAGGAGTTGATGGTTCACTTGATATTTTGTCTTGTAGTATTGAACGAGGAGCTGTTAAAGAATTTTTCAAACATGAAGTAATTTCTGTTTGTAATGGGGGGTTTGATGAATGTCTTTGAGCGGATTGTAAGAGTATTTTCCTGTCTTCTTTGTACATATCGATGAGCAAATCCATTTTTGATTCTATATCTTCAACCTAAAATAATAGATAAGGTAGATTTGTTTTAATTTTCTTGCAAGAGGTTTCGTTGTATGGAAATTTATATCGTTGGGTTGCTGTTTTGTTGACGTATATATATATATATACATATACCGGGCTTTGTCTCTTTTAATTCGTATATATATATAAAAATATATATATATATTTTGTGAAGCCTTGATGGTCGTGTGGTCTAGCGCGTCGGATACAGTGCAGGCGATTTGGTGTCACGATATCTCAGTAGCATGAGTTCGAATCCCGGCGAGGGAAGAACAAAAAATTTGCGAAAGCAAATTTACAGATTTAACATTGTTGGGCTTATGTTTAGACGAGTTGTATATATATATATGTGTTACGAATTACAATTGTTATTTTATTCCATTTCTAAACATATTTAACATTTTGCAAACGATATACGTTCATAAACGATTCACAAAATTTCATACACATATTGCTGCTTGCATGCATTGTCTCCCTTGCATTGGTTAGCCAAGCATGTTCATGTTATTAACAGTTCATCCTAGACAGAAATCATTTTTATGAACTCTACATTACGATGCAACCCTTTAGATGCTTTGGTTACATGTCTAATGCTTGTTTTTTTTTAAATAATTTTGTATTCTGTGGCTCCAATCCATCTGTAATGCGTGATTTATCTACAAATTTGTTCTTGGTTAGTTTTAAACCATGCACATATGGACATTGGTAATATTTGGCTATGTTTTCCATTAAACCAATCTACTTTTTTAAGTTTTTTTCATCATTTAGTGTAAGTATTATCTGTCTTTTCTGTTGGTAACATCATTGAAAATGAGTCACGTGCGTGTCTATTTAAGCCTACATAATGACATTCAGTACTCTTCTATATATGAAACAGATAAAATACATTTACTTCATATTAGAATAAAGGAAGATGGGGTAGGCCGTACGGTTGCCTATAATTGCTTACATCCACTTCATATGAACTTTGGTGGATAGCTGTCTCATTGGCAATCATACCACATCTCCTTATTTTTATATAGATGTTCAAGCCAGATAAAATATCTAAGCTACTAGTACTTATTAATGTTCTAAAGAAAGAAAAGATATCACCGGGGCATTCGACAATCATCAGTCCAATACAAACAGACAACACCATGAAAGGACAAACAGCAATAATAAAATAAAACATCAACACGAACCCTATCATAAACCGGGGTGAACCTATGTGCTCCGGAAGGGTAAGGATTTCCTGCTCGACATGTGGCACCCGTATATTCTTATCCTTGATTTTTCTACCCTATATACCACTTTGCCTTATAATCTCATTAAGAAAAAAATCACATACCTAATCAAATGGGCATTTAAAAAGTCAGAATGCAAATATATATGTTCACACTCTTTTAGGTCATTTTTTAGTGACAGCAAACAAAAGAACTATGTCAATTGGACCTGCTGTGATACGATAACTGCACTTGAATTTTATTTGTGCGGGATTTTCTCGCTGTGGTGAAGACTCGTTGGTGGCCTTGGACTGTTTTCTGCTCTTCGGTCGGGATGTTGTCTCTTTGACGCATTCCCCGTTTCCATTCTCAATTTTATTAATACATATGTAACTTACAGATCTTTCTACTTTAACAATTCTTGAAGCCAGACTTTGATTGCAATCATAAACGTCTTTCTTCTTGCTGCCTTGCTTACCAAGAATCACATCTAACCTGAAATGAAAGGGAACATTTCAAAGGACATTTGTGCCTTGTTTACCAAGAATCACATCTAACCTGAAATAATTTAATTTTTGATGTAACACGTCTTCTGATTGGCTGAAAGTTTTTTCGTCTATCAGCTCATAGACATAATTTTGTCATGTGACCGTGACGTCATCAACGTTTTTTTCAGGATTTACTCCTTTAAATGGAATTTAGAATTAAATTATTACATGTTAAAGGAATGACTGTAATATTTTTTCTGTCTATTCGAAATAACCTAAAAAATGTGATGCACATTTTTTAATAACCCGCTACGCGGATTATTCAGTGTGCACCACATTTTTGATGTTATTTCTTCATAGACAGAACAAATATTACAGTAATTCCTTAAATGAAAAGAAAAAAAAATTAATGACATTTGTCCTGCTATAAAGTATAAAACAACTGTTTCTAATTGTTCTGTAAATTACAGGGCTGAAACATTTGATTTTCAAAAATCATTTTAGTGTATATATTTGTTCTTTCATTTAACATGTTACTAACAAGATTACTTTAATGTGTCTTTTACATGTCGGAAATTATATATATATATATAAAAAAACCAACAACATTAGTTCCTGTATATTGAGTATGAGAACATTGTAAGCGCTGTTAGTCCATTATTTCACCTTCCAATGTTGCACACTACGTCACGATTAAAAGTGAACGATAAAGTATTATCATAATCATGTATCAGTGCAACAACGTCTTTGCATGTTTTTATTTCTCCTTTAATATTGTTGAAATATTCTGATAAACCCCGTTTTTTGAGAAAAAATATCTTTTTAAAATATTTTAAATCAAACATATACTTTTGAAGGCATGAAAAAAAAATGTACAGAAGTAAAAGTGAACAAACCTGCACTGTAAATTTTTAACACGACCAAGCATGTCCACGTGGCCAGCCGAGTATTGTTCTATGACATCTTTGACGTCATAAGGTCGAAGGGCTTCCTTGAATTTTCGTCTAGCAACAAAATATTTGATTTTTCGTAATGCCCTTATAGCTTGTTTATCTACGTCAGTTATTTGATGTAATTTTGGAGAGTGGTCGAGATCATCTGAAGAAAACAAATTCGAATGACGTCAATGAATTTTTCTTATTCAATTTTTCTAATAACTTACAGATCTTTCTACTTCCATTCTCAAAATTTTATTTTATTGTATGGCTTCAGGTTTTAAAAAAACGTGTGTTAACGTAATTTATATTTCTGTATTTTGACGAAGTCCTATAATTATTTCAACGCGGAATTCATATAAAACAAGTTTGAAAAAATGGCATTTGTTTTAGGCAAAACCCATCAAATTGTGAAATTTACATGGCAGTAATTTGAAAATGATACCCAGTATTAGAAATGATAACAAGATTTGAAATTTGCATCGTTTTGGATTTTGAACAAGAAGAGAGTACACGAAGTTCGTCATCGTCCTCTTCTGTAATCAACTATATTTGTTTTGCTTTTCAATTCTTAGTAAATATCTGCAACCAGACTGTGCAATTTCAGGTACCATCGTTTAACCAGTTATGATTGTCACTGTCACCGGAAACCAGTTTCGCCCTATATGACCATGTGTTCATTTCGAGGAAAAGGTATATTATGTATTACATTTAAGATATTTTTTGGGAATTGAATCTATGGCGGATATATATACTTGCCCGTCGGAATTCTAATAGGATATTTTTTACTCAGATTGCAAATATGCAATGTTAAATAGAAGTTAATGTAATTGTTTGGTCACTGTCTTATTGAACGTATAGCCTACACTTACTTTTAATGTGTTAATATACGCTAAACAAATAAAAATATAAGGGTCACACTTCTTTTCAATTATAAGAGTTAAATTAACTGTACATGCATCTTGATTAAGGGTAAATTTTTCGCATTTCTAGTTTTTAAGACCAGAATACGAATGTCGAACCCTGTATTCAAAGAGCAATTTGTATTACGAATGTTCAAATTAGAAATTAGAAATTAAAAAAAAAATAATGGAAAAAGATTACGCAAGCATTTATAAATGTGTGAAACATGATAAAAATAAGAAAATCGTGTATAACCAGTAATAGTTTTGATGCCGAATGTCTCAGATACAGTAATAATCCTGCATATTTTGGTAAAGTCTAGTTGTTTGACGTAACATTTTTGCATACATTCGTCTTAAAATAAGATACGTTCAAACATCCGAGACATTATTTGACAAAAATAAATTTTGAGGTACCGGAAATATAAAAAATAACCATCATTTTATTTTTATTCTATCAAAATGCCATATTTGTCTGATAACAATGTAACGAATAATCTTTTTTTAACCCGTTTTATGCTCTTTTGTCAGTATAGAGCATAAGAAATTTTGCAAATCTGTTTTCTCTGTATTTTAACGGTGATAATTTTTTTTGTTCATTGACAAAATAATTTAAGGAAAGTCACCTTCGTAAGATAATGGCGGTGAAGGATTATCTTTCCTTAGCGGAAGTTGGTCCACTCTGTGATCAGCTATTCCTGTAGCAAGACTCAAGTGACTCCTAAAACAAAGAATTGTTTACTATCATTTGTATACGTCTTTTAAATTGTATGATTAAATGGAATATCAGTTCTTTACACTTTATGTTAAATGAAACATTGCACCACTGTTATTGTACCTGTCTGACTTAGACTTATCTTTAGTTAAAACTACTGACTACAATCATTAATTTCGAAATCTAAATCACTGTAACGTTATAAATTATATATATGTTCGCAGTGAAAATCAAATTGATCCCAAAGTTCCATTTCATACAGACATTATTGACAAATTTCATTAACCTTCAACTGGTATTTCAAGATAAGTATCTGAAGTATTATTGAAAAAGATTATAGTGCAATTTATTGAAAAGGCTCCAATTTTATCTTCTTTGTTAAATGTACGTGCAAATGTGAACATTTACAAATGTTACAGTACAGTATTGTAGCGCACTTGTCAATATTTAGTGATAACAAAGTATTGCATTTTTGAATTAAACTGCCATTTTTAATCACTGTCGTGCATCACAACCCTTGTACAATCCATAGAGTTTACAATATTCGGTCAGTTGTCGATTGGCAATACTAATCATCATAGAAGTAAGATCATTCGGTCAGTTGTTGAGTGGCAATACTACCCATCATAAGCAGGCATTCATTAAAACTGTGTTGGATGTAAAATATGTAGCCACGTCTAGTCAGAATTTGAACATTTTATCCAATTAGCCGTTCTAGTAGATACACAGTTCGATTCCCACTCAAAAAAAAATATGATGTTATCAAATCAAAATCGCCTGTAACTAGTTCTAGAAGTCAATAAATAAAAGTAAAACATAGACCATTGCATTGTAATACTCTAATAACAAATAAAGACAAGAGCACAAATACATACATGCAAAGTAGCAAAGCACGTTTATTGAATTAGAGAAATGCAATGATAAATCTATATTTTATATAATTGGCTTTGGAAAAGAAAGTTTTATAGTCTCCAGTCTCCAAAGTCTGAACTGCAGGACGTAGTCATACATATATATATATACATACGTATAGTCGTTACTTTAACCCAGTCTGGTATTTACAGTAACAAATATCCGTTTCCCAGTTACGCTACCAGGAAAACGTAACATGACTTCTTTTTCGTCGAATTAAAATTTTCAGTGTTAATGCATATATTTCTTTTATTTTTCAGATAAACATTAAATACAATCTTATTATTTATCCCAGTACATGCACGATACGGATGTTAATCATGACCTAGTCCGAGATTGTTCTGACGTACTACGGATGTTTTGGGGCTTGCTGGGGTCGTTAGTCGTACGATTGCAGTCTATATAGAAAAGAAGGAAATCGGGAACCAAGGCCTGGCCCAAATTTCTGTTTAAAATCATAACAGATTCATTGACAATAAGGTTAATCACACACCATTCTATTTCTATAATTCATTATCTCCACGAATTTGAGCCATGTTTCATCGACAACATTCAAGTAGCATAAACGTAAGCTTCAGAGGCGTTTTTAAGGAGTGCAGGGGGCCCGGGCCTCCCTCATTGAGCTTCATTTATTCAAAATCCTGGATCCGCACCGAAGCTTTATTCCCCTAAACCTTCATTTTTTTTTAGCGAGTACTTTGGATTCACATGATCCAAGATATATAGAAATTTTGCGTTATTTCTTGGCAGGTACATTTGTGATTTATGCAAATAGGTTGACACGAGTTTGAATCCGACAAATTGGATGAAGAAGTACATTCTGGAAGAATATACAGGGCATCGGGGTCATATGCAAAAGAGGGACGAAAGATACCAGAGGGACAGTCAAACTCATAGATCGAAAACAAACTGACAACGCCATGGCCAAAAATAAAAATACAAACAGACATATAATAGAACAGATGACACAACATAGACAACTAAAGACTAAGCAACACGAACCCCACCAAAAACTGGGGGTAATCTCAGGTGCGCCGGAACGGTAAGCAGATCCTGCTCCACATGTGGCACCCGTCGTGTTGCTTATGTTATTACAAATCCGGTAAATAGTCTAATTCGCTAGGTCACATTCGTGAAAAGGGAAGGTATTGTAGTTACGACATAAGGAACATATCCGATATCATATGTGAAACGGTTATTCCATAACGGTCAACCAACTCGTGATGGCGTCCGTAAAATTCACGGAGGGATGATTTCAACTTCACCATTTGGAACTCTTGGTTTAATAGCTTCCTTGTGAGCAGCAATCCTCTATCAAGGAAATCATGATAGGAAATACAAGCCCGGGAATATCGTATCAATTGGGAGATATAAACTCCGTATGCAGGCGCTGCTGGAATGTTGCTACATAGAAATGGAAAGTTCACACTGATTGGGAAGCTGAAATCATCTCTTTTGTCGTAAAGTTTTGTTTTCAACCGATTCTCATTGTCAATTTCTAGATGTGAGTCAAGATATGAGGCAGACTTAACTGTATCTGTAGTATCCTTTATCTCTAGTTCGATGGGATAGATTCGTTCAACATAGTCACCAAATTTTGTATTATTTAGTGAGAGAACATCATCTATATAGCGGAACGTAAAGTTACAGGATATTGCTAACTTCTTATTTTCTTCCTAAGAAGTTCCTGTATGAAGTCAGCCTCATAATAATAAAGAAACAAGTCGGCAAGAAGAGGGGCACAATTGGTTCCCATTGGAATTCCGACAGTCTGTTGAAAAACACGTCCTCCAAACGTAACAAATATGTTGTCAATCAAGAAATCAAGCATCTTGATAATGTCAGTTTCAGAGAATTTTTTGTTTGAATCAGAGTGATTCTTTACAAAGTAAGATTTATCCCTCCCCAAGACAAGATACTTGTAACTACGTTCGCCATTCTTTTTAATGAAACAAAGTAATACCAACTTTTTCAATTTGTCTTTTAGTTTAGAATGGGGAATACTTGTGTAAAGTGTAGAAAAGTCAAATGTTTTAATACTATTGCAAGATGAGAGAGTCTTAGATTGTATGTACTCTAAAAGATCTTTGGAATTTTTTAGTATCCACATCTGATTTACGCCACCTCTAGAACAGGCAGTTTCACAATAACTTTGGAGCCCGGCTTTGGTTGCTGATAAAATAGATGTTAATAATTTAGAAAGAGGTTTCATGGAACACTTGGAAGACCCAGCAATATACCGTTGTTTGTAAGGACACTTATGTAGTTTAGGTATCCAATACATTGATGGAAGATCCAGTTCTTCATCTTTGGTTGAAATTCCAAAGGAACATAGAACAGACCTATGATTATCCAGGATTTCCTCTTTGGTAAGTGTCGTGAGGGTATATGTTGAGTTTCCAAATGAATTGTCAATACCTAATTTATTTATCAAGCAATGTATGTAATGATATTTACACACAAAAACGATGTTGTTTGGGGCTTTATCTGCGGGGACAACAACATATTTGTCATGGAGGTAGGACAAGTGTTTTGCAACATTTGGGTCTTTAAAAATTGACGTAGCGTGGTTATTGATAGACTCATTAAGTTTCTTAATTCGGATTTGTATCAACGACCTCACAGCCTTAATCCATTCGGAAAGAGTATCTACGTCTTCTTTATCACGTTTAGTCCATTGCCTGGCATAATCCTCGACTGTATCCATCAGTATTTTGAAGTTTATTTCTAATTGATGGATTTAGACTCACGATATTTCGAACCTTCATGTTGTTCAAAGTTAAAGATCATTTCTGAATAATCGTTGAATAAAAGGTACATATTCGTAGAAGTTACTAACGAAACGAATGGTGTTTGTTTGATCAACTTGACCACGGATCTATTACGTTTTAGAGACAGAAACTTGCCGCCTCAAATCATTGACCGCAATTTTCAGGTGAACTATATGGACTGAGCTCGGATGTCTACGAGTCCTACCATATCAAAAAAAGACGGTCAGATGTCAGAGCAATCTGTGACTTACTGTTGCCAAATATAACAATATATGATTTTCGACCCCAACAAAGATACCGTATATCAAAAATTAGTATCAACGGTAATATACGACACACTAAACTGTGTTCCCGTCATGTAATTCTTCTGTTGTAGGTAACAAATCATTCGACACCAGTTTACAGCAATATCAGATGTAAAGAATACACAGCGAAAACCCAAAAGAACTAGCAAGCTTTTAATTTTAGTTTTAAATTCTAGCAAGCCAATATCTATAAGCTAAGAACAAGAGTACTCACCAAGTCCTGTTTACAAGGCTGCATACAAATACAGGTATAACTATGACTTAATTATTGTATAAGGAGGGAAGTGAGAAAGCAGTATATGCGACAAAGACAAAAGAATGTGTATTATATATAGTTTCTGCTACTGTGATGATATAATGAGTGTACATAGCTTTGATTGTGACTTTGTCAAATGTTATAATGGAATTCAATTTCTGATGTCACGATGGTGTAGAGATTTCCCCAATATTCTTAATCGACGGCTTTATGTACAAAATTAACAGTTTTGCTGAAATAAATTTCAAAATAGAAACAAGCAGTGTATTGAATCACATATATGTTTAAACTCTATTAAAAACACTTGGCACACAAAACACAAGATGAAGTTGCCTTCGACATAATTACAAAGAGTATAAAAACACCATTCGAAGTTCAACGTCTGCGACTCTTTTCACAAAAAATCATACGATTAAAATTGATCGTAAGTTATACTGAAATGTGTAGGACCTTTATTGATCTCGCAAACCACATGATTCGTTCTTTTGCAGCGACTCAACATGTAGTAAATTTTTTATTCATATCGGTGTTTTCCCTGGTCCTTAAATCACGTGATGACCTTCAGTGGTATATTTATACAGATTGTACATAAAGTCATAAACGGATAACGCATCATGCCGCTCATAACTCGGAGTAAATTCTGTGAATTGTTGCATTTTGAGTAATTTTCCACTTTTTCGACAACACTATTTGTCTTATTTACTTTTGATACACATACATACAGACTGGATGCTGTCATGAAATAGAAACTACAACTTTCGCAAATCCGAACATTTTAAGCAGACAATATAGAAATATATTGTTTTTAAATTCATGATTATGCCTATTACACAAACTACTTATATAACTATGCTTATTACACAAAATACATTGAAATTACTGCATTTGTAATAACGTAATTAAAAATTTCCACCATTTACTAAATATCAGGGAAATACGGAATATTTAAACAGTCGCGTAAAAGGACATTATGTACGGAATAGTCATAATGGAATTTTGCTGTGCATATGCCTAATGCTTAAAATACAAAGCTAAACATTCTTTTTCAAAAATGAATGTCATCTAACCGTATGATGGAGATACTGCTGTTTATTTTACTTTCTCTTTTCTGAAATAAGCCCACAATCTGATTGCTTGATTTTGACCTTGAATTTTCTTTTGATTCCGGGTTAAAACATTATTCACGAGGGGAGGCAATGTATGTGTTAGTGCGACAAGAACAGTCATTTGTGAAGGTGCAAACACACATTAAGCGGATATTTGACAATCATGCACAGTCAAACTTGTTTTCTGATTTCAGCCACAAGTTTGGCGGTGCACAAATTTTAATCTGATATTTTAGCATGCATAATACGTTCAGTGGTGGCTTGTTGACAGTACAAAGGTTTTGAGTCTCTCAAATAAGCATGCAATATTCAGCATGTTGGTCATACCTGATGCATTCTGATACCAAATTCCTAGAAAACAATTTTTATTATTTGTATTTGATGACTTGAATCTTCATTTTATAGGCAGCTCTGGCAATATCGTCTTTCCAGAAACTAAAGCACTATGGGTAATCTCATTGTTCGTACACCAAAATGAAAACAACGTTACGTCATTGGTTGAATTTCCATTGTTTAGAACGTTTTAAACCAATCACAACGTTTTGGTGTACGCTTTTGAAATGTTACGCAGAATGCATAAGATTCTGAAACGGCTAATTGGAAACTTCCAGGTATTTTCTGCTAAGCATATTAAGCCACCAAACTCGACGTAAAATAACTCAAACAATTTTCTTGTCTCACCACCAAACTACCCAAAAAAGTTTAAAAGTTCGATCTACTAGTTGTTACATATATTTTGCGAAGAAACATATCGTTATCGTAAAAACTTCGTATTTCTTTATGACCAGTCCTGTTTATTTTTGTTTCAACTTTTAATTAGTTTGGTTTCTGTTTTATTTCATTGATTTATCATGTGTTTACATATGGTGTTTTTATGTTTCTACTGTTTTTCTAACATTAAGCAAGCAACACTTAATCAATCTAAATGTTCTTTATTTCGCGATTTGATTTTGACAACACTTGGACTAACATTTAGAAATACTAAAAACAAATGTACTTGCAGCAACTGAACAGTCTGTTTAAGCATTCATTTGTTCAAAATAAGTTGTTTTGCTTTGCAAATGTTACTTTTATGTAGAACATCGATACGAAATAGAAAACGATTTTTTTTTAAAAGAAAAACTTCGTATTTCGTGTTCTTTCAACCAAATGCACGTGTACTTGTTTTCAAAGAGCATCTCCTCATAGATACAAATTTGTCAGTTACTGTATATTTTGCTAAAATATTAGTATTTTTACAATTTTAATTTTTTTTTGAATTACGTTCAGTTAACACTATACGAATTGGCATGACACTCTCAACCGATACCTATGCCAACCCGACAAATACTTAATGTGCAGGTCCAAGTCAGGAATCTGTATTCCAGTGGCTACCGCTGTCTTTTGTCTACTGATGTTAATAAGACCGTTGATTATCTCTGTCACCTTTTAACATTTTGTTAACCAACAGCTCTTTACACTTTACTTAAAAGAGGGACGAAAGATACCAGAGGGACAGTCAAACTCATAGATCGAAAACAAACTGACAACGCCATGGCCAAAAATAAAAAGACAAACAGACAAATAATAGTACAGATGACACAACATAGAAAACCAAAGACTAAGCAACACGAACCCCACCAAAAACTGGGGGTGATCTCAGGTGCTCCGGAAGGGTAAGCAGATCCTGCTCCACATGTGGCACCCGTCGTGTTGCTTATGTTATTACAAATCCGGTAAATAGTCTAATTCGGTAAGTCACATTCGTGAAAAGGGAGTGTATTGTAGTTACGACATAAGGAACATATTTGATATCATCTGTGAAACGGTTATTCCATAACGGTCAACCAACTCGTGATGGCGTCCGTAAAATTTACGAAGGGATGACTTCAACTTCACCATTTGGAACTCTTGGTTTAATAGCTTCCTAATCATGATAGGAAACACAAGCTCGGGAATATCGTATCAATTGGGAGATATATACTCCGTATGCAGGCGCTGCTGGAATGTTGCTACATAGAAATGGAAAGTTCACAATTGGGAAGCTGAAATCATCTCTTTTTGTCGTAAAGTTTTGTTTTCAACCAACCCTCATTGTCAATTTCTAGATGTAAGACGTTAATTTTTTTTGTATTTTGCTAATTTTGAAGAGTAGGCTGAGAGTGTCGATGAAAGAAAGATTTTACTCTCTTAATTTTTTGTCTTTTGTAGATCTATAGTTATCCTTTCCACGGCAACCATTTAAATGTCTTCATTTTATGTTATTCATCAGAAATTAAATTTATTGTTTTTGATAATGGCTTTTCAGTACATTTGTACTTAGAATATCAATATTTTTCACCCATCGCATCAAATAGATAGCTTAATGTAATGGTGTCGTTATAAATCATATGAAGGGAAGTTTTATTGCAAGTGTTTATTTGATACGAACCTAATCATCTGTTGTGTTATGTGTCTGATACTGCAGGTTGTTTTCAATTCAAACCTTTGATGACCGTGATAATATAATAACAACGACATTTGCACAAAGTATTTCCCTACTTTCAATTATTTAATGTATCATAATATTTCAAATTTATAAGGATAGATCAAAGACCGGGTGTGCAGAATGTTTATTAAACAATTGAGAATGCTCTATACTAAACATTTGAATATTTGAAATATGATACTTAAAAATACCTCAAACAATTCTATGAAAGCAGGTGCACAACTTCAACTTATGTGCAATTTTCCTGTGAAGTTTCCTGGTTCTCGGTTGAAAACTGTATTAATTTACACAAAAGTTGTACCTATCTTCTTTCATAAATTGAGCAAAAAATAACTAAGTTCCAAAGTCTGGGATATTAAAAAATCCTCAAAAAATACCTTAATTGCAGGTCAACATATGTGCAACATGCCTGTCAAGTTTCAGTTATCTGGGTTAAAAACTGTAGGAGCAGTTGATTTAACAAATATTAAAGGCACCCACTTTTTCCTGCCCGACCGTCCGCCCACCCGTCCATCCGCCCGCTAAATATCACGATATTATAAGCTGTCAAGTAGCTGATCAAATATGGTGTCATACAGATTTTAGTAGTACATGAGAAAGAGTGACAAATATATATTTGTTGGATGAACGGACGATAGACAAAACGGACAAGGTGTAACAGTCAAAATTTTGGTAAATTGTGTACTGTTCACTTAAACTATACACAATGTAGTGTAATCCTATATACTAATTCGCCGTTTTATATAACGAGGAGTGCAAGGTTTGGTCTTGTTAAATAATTACCTATGTAATGTATCTGGAACTTCCTCCTGATCTAAAAGATTTGTTCTTCGATTGTTTTCCTTTCTCGGCTGTATTAATGGGGAATGAGGGTTTCCGGAATGACTATGGTTACTTCCACCGGTACTTCTATCCCGCCGTCTTGTAGAAAAGCGACTGACAAATGATGCATTATTTTTAAACTGTCTATCACTGAAAGAAATAAATAATAATACCAATATTGTATTTTTTTTAAATTTGTAAACAATGTCCTTAAATGATTTATTTACTTATCAAACATATGTCTAAAGCGGAGATAATATTCAGAAGAAATACATTATTTCTTGTCATAATGCATTTCCTAAGGACGATATTTTGATGGAATTTTTATCAGGTTTCACATTTATGATGTATTATCTTAGCCTGTCGGTCAATGAAGACAGAAACAACGATACTATTTACGTCTAACGCCTTCTATTTTTTTATGAGTCGGCAAATAAAAGAAAACGCGGTGGAATACAATTTTCAGAAATAACTGCAAGTTTTGTTTTCAGTTTTTTCGAATGAAATCTTATGTGTATAATACATATAAACTGCATTTCTATTAATAGAATGACCACAATTAACTAGCAATTAGGACAACAAAGAAAACTAAACGAAACAGACACCCCAATCACTTATAAAAAAAGAAAAACAGGTAAGCCTCACAAAAAACACAATAAAACCGTGTGATACCTATAACTTAATAACCAAAGTTTGGGAAAACAAACATAGATGTATAGATTAATAAAGCAAAAGGTCAACCAAAACCGTCTTGGGTCAACATGAAAGAGTTGCAACCCTGCAGTATTGAATGTGGTGATATACATATAGGCTTCCCTAACATATACCATTATATTTCTCAATCCATTATGTCATTTCTAAAATTGCGTTGCAACAGCAACCATTAAACAAAAATGACTTGTTTAACTAACAAAGAATAATATACAACATGTTTTGCATGAGCTACTAAACAGTTCAAAACAATGATGATTGAGTATGTAATGAATGATAAAATAAACTGCATCTAGAACATAAACACAGAGAGAAGATAGTGTAGGTGGCAATCGAAAACCATGATCCTCCCCTCCCAACAAAAGGACAAAAATATAAACGACGAAAAGACAAACAACAATAACAAAACATTAAATAGTGAGGTGGCATAGTACCAAATTTGACAAAATCATGCAAATGGTGATACAAGCATAAGATTTGGCACACACGTTCTTTAGGGTGTACTTTAGCATATCAGAGGGGTAGTCATTATATTTTTGGATTTTTTCACGGCGGCCATCTATCACCACTTCCGTTTAGAGTGGTAAAAGTTTATACTATAGAGTGAAATAATGGGGGTGATGATATGCAATAAAAATGTCCGATTGATATATAGGTGATTAATTAAAACATACAGGAAGGCCGATTAATGTATTTTCCGATATAATTTGTTCTAACAACTACATGAACGTTTCACCGGAACTTTTCTTTGGTTGACGAATGAATAACAGAAACTTGATTTTCTTAATAGGTTCATAAATGTTTGTCTGGTTTTGCATTCGGGTTCTGGAGTCAGCATGCATCCAGTTTTTCTAATTTGCGAGATCTTCCATGTATCTGCTTGTACTATATCTTTAGTGTTTATCTTGTAGATTTCTTCAAAATCTTCAAGAAATGGATTTCTATAATCATTCATGACAGTCTTCAGTCGTTTCACTTTGTCAATGAAATATTATTGCATTGACATGAAATTGTTATGATACCTGTCATCTTCGTTCCTTTTTTGATAAAGGATGAAAACGTTTGTTTGTAAAGCTCAAAATCTGCCTCTCGTGATGATCGAATGTATAAAACAACCAACAGCTGAATTTCACCAACCGAATACCGAAATTCAAAATGAATCTATCTACTTTTTATTCTTCACATCGTTGTATGAAATTGTCAAATTCTATGGATTCATTGGAATTTTGGTTATTCAAACTGTCATAAGCAGACATCAGTAAATCAAACAAAATACACGCAGTTACATGATGCGTTAGTCTAGATTTGGCGTATTCGAACTTGATTAGAACGATTCCGCAATTCCAGAGGACGCAACATCTACTTCTGACAAAGCCTTGATCCAACCGCTATCCCGCAATAGATCAGCCAGAACTTTGAAACTTGCCATTTCAATTTGTAAGTCATCATACATAACAACGAATCTTTTTTCACCGTATTCATTTGGTCATTCCTACTGAATTTGCCTTGCAAAGACAAATAGCAGTGGGTCTGCTGTAATCACTGGACTTTTTCCTGGATTCAAAAATGACTCAACATCTCTGACCTTATACATCGAATATTCTACTGAAAAAACTGAGTGAGCCTGTTCCTAAAATAATGGCATTAAGCAGGTTAGACTCACTTCAACAGTTGGTCCACGCTTCTCTGAAGAATGAAATGATGACCATGAAATATTTCCTGATGTAATATCTTCACACGTTAACCTAACCGTATCTAACCACTCAAACTCATTCTGTAATCTCATGAATAAATAGTCGTGGTTCAGAATGCCAGTTACACCCTCGGACAGAATTTGGTTGACTTGTAGGTAATATTATCTGATCCCTTATGACGCCAACATTTTCTTTCATTGGATGTTGAAAAAAAGAGATTCCGGTCCCATTCAAAGAAGATTTTATGTTGTTAAGCTTTAATATGGTCTATATTGTTGACGAAGCTGTAGTAAACACTTTGCCCTTTAATAAAGGCGGATAAACCACACTCTCATTCAAATAACGACCAACTACAGCTTCACCTAGTTGAGTTGATATGTCCAGTACCCGATCGTGAGAGATGCATAACCCATGTTGAAATAATGTATCTATATGCTGTTTTTCCTGGTTTTTGCAAAGAGTAATAGTCCAAGATACACACACAATGGTGTCTAACGATCAGCTGAATGTCTGTGTTGTACAGGAACCTTCTGGGTGTTTGGATGGTTAGCAAGCATTGATAGTTGGGCCAGAGCCAAGAAACGTTGTCCAACTGCGATTTAATATCAGGTCCATGCTCTATCATTTTCACACAATCCACTTATCGTTGGTTCAGTTTCATTGGCGTTGCAAATCACAAATGAAACATTTATGCACATTTTGTGGTTGTTGTCTTTTGAACGAGGAGTACTTCTAAAAATGTTAGGGGAATTACATTCAGATGAACATTACATATGGCGTTTCTGTGCTCTCTCAAGTTGTGAACTGTTAATTGTTATTCTCAACAAATTACTGTACTAAGCATTTTTCTTTTTCATTGTGCTTTCAATTCCCTCTCCGTTGTTTAATCGCTGAATATCTAGAGGGCTATAGAGTGCATTTACTTCGTGAAAAAGAGGTATATTTTGCCTAACATTTTGTATCCTTTATTTGACAATTTCCGTAGGTACGTCGTGTCTTCTTGACACAGACAACATTTTGCGGAAACAGTTTCCAAATTATCTGCGGAGGACGCTGACAAGCAGATTCTTTTCACCATTTCAAAAATTACCTATAATGGTTTACTTTTATAAATTTTGACTTGGATGGAGAGTTGTCTCATTGGCACTCATACCACATCTTCTTATATCTATAGTCTATGAATAAACTACAGTGATCAACAATGTATCGATAGAACAATAATGCAAATATCGTCTGAGTAAAATTTCTTAACACTTCTGATATTCAGGCCGAGGGATTATCCTTTTACTACCTGTAAAGCACTATGTTATATGGGATACAACTTAGTTCGGTGAACCCAATTAAAAGTTTGCCTACATTCAGCCTGCTCGTTCATCCAGTATCAATTAACTCCCATGCGATCTGTACACCATCCAGAGGAATAAGCCCCTCCTCCTTGCCTCGGCTGTCCTGCGTTACCACATCCTTTCGATTCAAGTAAGACTCCACGACTTAATAATTGGGGCAATCATGGAGTATTTTGAGAACTTTAATCTTACAAAGCTGATACTGGACCCCATGCCGAGATTCTCGGCAGTGATTTATACCAAGTTGCCCTGGTAGTGCAAATAAATCACTATCTGAAAGAATGCTAGTGATAAGTGATGAGCATTAAGTAATGACTGGTAAGGAATGGCATTTGTCAAAGTCAAGCAACATCACAATGGACGGATGCCAAACAATTGTTAAGAACGGACGCCAAGTAAAGACTTAATACTAAGAATCAATTATTAATAAGGTCACAAGACCAACCCCAAACGATGATTCAAATTAATAACTATCAAAGTACTATGATAATAATTGGCGTGTGATTGTATGGATCAAATGTAGAATATTTATAAAACCAGAAGTGTGTTATCGGCCAATTGTTTTACTGGAAGTAATGTTTTTTACTACAACAAGACAAATTAACCCCCATTCACTCAACCTAAAACATTTTGAACATAATACAAGCAATATGTATGCAAAAGAGAACATACATTTGATGTGTTTTACCTGGCTAGACGTCATTTTGAAAATCAAAGATGGCCGCCATGATCGGATAGATTTTTTCGTGGCTACCCCCTTGATGATGATTAAATACACCTTAAAGCATGTTCTTACAATGTTTCATGCTTGTATCACCATTTGCATGATTGTTGTGGTAAGCTGCTCAGCTAAAATAGGAAACAAAAGATTGAGCAACACGTACGCCTACAAAAACTCTGTGGCGAAAGTGCCTCGGAGGAGTAATTAATTCCTGCTCTACATGTGCCACCAGTAAACAGCTAAATTATTAGAAAGAACTTTGATATGAGTATGACATTAACATTAGTTTTGTCTCATTTCAGTATACAAAGAAGTGATTGTTTTAGCAGTGTTTAATCGGCGTTTTGATTTTCTTTTCTAAAATATAAAGAATAGAGAAAAATGGGCAAACATTGTGAAGAAAAGAGAAAAATGGCCTAAAAGATTAAAAAATACAGAAATGAAGGACTCCCCATCCAGACCCTCATAATACTTACGCTGTTGGGCTTGGGCATGGAATCATATGGGGTTTCCATGTAGCTATAGATATTGAATTTCTGTCTGCTGCATAACATCTCCACAAACTTTGTATTAACATAGCGGCTGGAACTCTTCTACGAATGAGGTGTTTTTGTCGTTGCTGTTGCTGTACTTTAAGAGCAAACCCTGAACCAAGTATTCCCTATGGGAAGTAAATAATAGATACAGATAGTGGCAAATCAAACAAATCCTCCAACAGTTCCAAAGACATACTGAATTCGCGTTATCTTGATTGTACCCATAATAACGTCATTGCATTTGATGTATTTGTATAGAACATTTTATAAAGAAACAGATCCGGTTTTCGATTGTAACTAAAAACCACATGCAATGTTTGCTTATATATTATATATAAGCAGGTTTTATTGGTTGAGGAAGCCGGAGATCCCAGAGATAACTATCAGCATTAAAACTGGCAATCTAGTGCGGGGTTCGAACTCACAACCTATGAGCCTCCTCATCGGGTTTTTGATTATGTGATTACTTGGCCGTTTTTATAGTGATTATTTGATTACCATACCAAATATTTCATGATTATTTGATTATTTGATAATCTAGGACTGTATATTTGATTATATGATTATCTTATTTAAAAGAATAATTAATGATTACTAGTATGTGAATGTATTGGCAAAACATTTGTGATTATGTGATTACTTGGACACCCCCACGAGGAGCCTCATCTATGTTCTGACAGGCTAGGGATGAAGTGGTTGAATTACTAATCCCACTCAGTCGCCAAGGTCCCGTATGTAGTAATGAGAATATTGGAAAAACAAATTGAAGGCTTTTTAAAAATGGCATGTTATAAACAAATTTCAGTGGGAATGGCCTGTACCTCTTCGTTTTGCTTCTCAAATGTTGCAAATACGTGTGCACTGTTTATGTTAAGCATTAACTTTTAAGCATAATTTCTAATTGATTTCAGAACAAAACACGTGTACAGGAAGTTTGAACATCTCGAAAACCATTTAAAAGTTAAAGACTTTTTTCGACTTCCTAGACATTTTTCGCCATTAAAATAGTCATCTTAAATATTTGATGCAACTAGAGGTACCACTCCTGGCACCATTGTGTATAGACGTTAATATTTGTAGTGCTAAACAACAATTACAAAAGACATAAAAGGTTTAAACAGTTCAGTCAGTTCTCTTTATTGGTAGAAAATAGTGACTTAATTTATCAAGATATTGTTAGCTACAAGTAAGTGCAATCGACAAAATTACGCGACCCGGTTTTTCTTTCTTGTTATAATCGTATTTGACAACCACATGTAGGTGAAGGTAATCTCACACATGCGCAGACAATTAAACATAAATGTACACCAGTTTTTGTTGGACCAAATGTAGGATGTTATACCAACTGAAGTATGATATCTTATTTGCGTCCGAAAGATTTATTGTTTAATAAATATAGAGTATTGTAAATCTGTTCGTATGCATCTAAAATTGTATAAAACTTCATATATAGCATATAAAATTACAATGTCATCATGTTCAATTTAGGGTAATGCAATGGTCAGTTTAACATGTGGATCAGTTTCCTTCTATTAGAGATCTGGGCTGATATGCATAAAACCACATAAGTTAAGATATCCAATCGTAGTACTCATCTATCGTAGGACATGTAGAAAAATCCGTCCGTTCGGAACAAATCTTAACTTAAGTAGTTTTATGCATATCAGCCCAGTTCCAGGAGAAAGGTGTCAAACTAAACTTTGTAGATATTTGTTAAGGAATTATTTTTTAAATAAGAAGACATCTGTCACCTTCCCTATCGCAAAGTTGGCTTAATTTTTAATTATTGTAGCACAATTCACAGTACAGTACACGAATACTTACTGCAGGAAGAGCAAAAAATGATATCCCTAAGATTGCTGAAAACCCAGCAATAACCTTTCCAGCCCACGTCTGAGGTACAACATCACCATATCCTACTGTACATAATGTTATCTACAACGACAAAAACCAAGAATAGAATATATGTTATAGTACTAAGGAAGCTTGTATTATTTTCAATTATTTATGTTTGTTTATTCATTTCAAGTTTATAAAAGCCTTTTCAGTTTGATTCTGCTAATTTGTCGTTATTAATAAAATGATGCTGCTTACTTTTTATCTTCTTATTTGTTTTACAAGATTTTAAAATGCCTTAAAAACATTTATATCTACTTTCTAGAAATTTGTTGGTATGTTTCACTATTGAAAATTTTACCACAGATTTTGCAATTTTATTACTTTTTGCATTTTTTGTCGTTACTTTTTGTCTCTTATTCTGATAAACAATCATTAATTATTTTTGGGGCCCTTTATAGCTTGCTGTTCGATGTGAGCCAAGGCTCCGTGTTAAGGCCGTACTTTGATCTATGACGGTTTACTTTTACAAATTGTGACTTGTATGGAGAGTTGTCTCATTGGCACTCATATCACATCTTCTTATATTGATTAATGATCAATATGAAAACAAAATAAAGTTTTTTCAGCCCACTTTTTCCGCATTAAAAAAAATATATTTGCTAATGGTAAAGAATATGCATATAATAGACTATGTTACATGTGTAAAGATAATCTATTTCCCGTTACAACTTACTGCAGCATCTTTTAGAGTTTCACGCACTTCGCTTTTTTTGTTGTTTCCATTATTATGCATATTCATTAAATATCAATATTTAATTTGTTATACATCAAATGTCATAAACATGTATGTATATTCAAATATAAATGTAACATGTGTAATGTAGAATCTCTTTATAAAAAAACATTTCGATATCCAAGCGTTATACGTTGTTATAATCAAAAGCCCATTCTTCTTACTTCGTTTATAACTTTACAGAATGTGACTTACAGCGAAGGTTTGATTCCTGTCAATAGCGACTCGACGGATGCATAAACTGTTTCCTTTTAGGTGCATGTTAGTTTTTATTCCATCTGAAATGAAGTTGGTTGTGGATATCCGTCGATGATATGTTAGAATATGCAAGAAACCTAATTACTATGTTTACACGAAATATAAAAAGAATAATTATGTGAATTGAGACAACTACCCATCGACGCAACAAATATCTAGAGGTCAATAGTAGTATACTTACCACACCCCACCAAATTGCATCAGCAAAACTTTTTAATTTTGGTTTTTCGGAATCTTTTTCTGCGAGAAAAACGAGGAATGAAAAGAAAAGTAAACCTAGAATTCCTATATACAGTGTCGTTAACAGCTCCTGAAATATACAAATGTACCATGGTTAACGCAGTGAGTTAAAACACCAACAAAATACTAAAATGAACCCGAATAAGCTCATTATACTGGATCTTTTTATTGTGTTTATTTCAATATTTTCACAACTTGGAAAAAGTACATGATCATAAATATACAATAAAAAACTCATCAAACCAGGCTTATCATTTAGTAAGCCTCGCCAGATGGTTGGTGACCCCCCTTTTTGATCCTGGGTTGAAACCCCCTTTTTAAAAATGGCTGGATCCGCCCCTGTTAAAAATTCTGACTGCATTATTTTATTTTAGATATCATTGACTGATATAAATATCTTGGTTTGTTGTTTAAGTCTGCTGTTTTGAATGAATAAAAATGGATGGATGTTATCGTGAATGACACAGCAACTAAACGGCAAAAATAAAACAAAAAATGTATTGTATGTTTGTAGCTGACAGCTTAGACACGAAATCACTCATACATGATTACAATTTTCCTATCAATATCTTTTGTAATATTCGCTGGGAGCATTTTCAATTATTTTCGCTCATTTATTTCAAGATAGCTAAAAATGTTTGCAACAAGACAAAGAATAAATATATGTATAGTTTGATTGATTATTATGAAAAAAATCCAACCTGTCTGTGAGCCCATATAACTGATCCTAAAAGCTTCCAAGACCCTCCACGGCGGTCCATCCGTACCATTCGTAAAATTTGGAAGAATCGAAGACCTCGGAGTGATGTAGCGGCGAATGCTGAGCTTAGTGATCCAACAAATAATATAACGACAATGGAAATAATTAAAATTAAATCTACAATAGAAAAATATGTGTTCTATGGTTTCGAATTACATGCTTTGATAACTATTCTACTGTATGATTAATTGGCAGGAATTTGAGGAGTAACGAGGTATATATAAAGGTTTTAATCTAATTAAGAATGTTTTTAGAGACAGAGACCAAAACCTTTTATTTCATTCGTCTTTTTTTCATTTTATGTAACATCGAAAGCTTTTCACAAAAATTGCCCCCTTTCAAACATACGTCAGCTCTGTAATTTGGTATGGGTCTGTTTGACTAAACCAAACTTCTTTTTGCTACGTTTCCGCCAAACAATGACATCACAGATGTCCCTGGCCAGTGAAATTTTGATGTCACAAATATTTAAACATGATTTGTCAAGGTCACAAAATTCGGATCACTAGTCGCAGAATCGTAATTTACGACAAGGTCTGTTTGTAATCATCAAAGGTTTCCTTAATTTAAGTTGAAATCCAATGATTTAAGATTTTTATGCCCCATTTATGGGCATTATGTTTTTCGGTCTGTGCGTCCGTTCGTCCGCCTGTCCCGCTTCAGGTTTAAGTTTTTGGTCAAGGTGGTTTTTGATGAAGTTGAAGTCCAATCAACTTGAAACTTAGTACACATTTTCCCTATGATATGATCGTTCTAATTTTAATGCCAAGTTAGATCTTTGACCTCAATTTCACGGTCCACTGAAGATAGAAAATGATAGTGCGAGCGGGGCATCTGTGTACTATGGACACATTCTTGTTTATTAAACTTTTAATTGCTTATTAAAATTCATCAATTGGATTATGTGAGTATTAAATATTACCCATAATGCACTTCCCTTTTCTTTGAATTCTTTAACTAGATTTAATCCCTGATGGGCTACTTTTTTTTCATTTTGCATGACCCTAACAAAACATTACCAGTTCATAAATCCGTCATACTTGCCTATAATGCATAATGGCCTTCTCATAAACCTGAATCGTCCACTCCACCCTTGGTATCTGGATCGACAGCCAGCTGCCCAAATACGTACAATATACTCTGCGATCAGCCATATTAACAAGGCAGGTTCCTACAACATAGCAAGCAAATGATATATGGTTATTTGTGTATCTGGATTGACAGTAGCTGCCCAGATACGTACAATATACTCTGTAATCAGCCATATTACCAAGGCAGGTTCCTGCAACATATCAAACAAATGATATATGGTTATTTGTGTATCTGGATCGACAGCTAGCTTCCCAGATACGTTCAATATACTGAAAACCAACAAATTTTCGCGACCGATTTATTTTCGCGACTTTCGCGAGTAGAAAAATAACGCGAATATAAATCGTCGCAATATGTAAAAATTGGATTTTCATTATTTATCTACATCAAGTATAAATTAAATCGCCGCGAAATGAATAAAAAAGGGCTAAACGCGAAATAAATTATCCGCGAAAATAAGTTGGTTTACAGTACTCTGTGATCAGCAATATCAACCAGACAGGTTCCTACACCATAGCAATAATTTCTATATGGTTATTTGTGTCGTTGGGTTTCTGTTTCATTGACGTATACCTCACATTTTCTCTTCTTCTTCTTTTCCGCGAAAAAATTTCCACGATTGCTCGGATTAATCAAAGTTTCTATTAAAAAAATATTGAAAAATCGTAGAACTTGTATGTAAATATTATCAAGGATTTATAAAGTATTTATATGAATCCTTGATATGAATTCTGGAGAAAAACAAAACAATTTAAATGATTTTTTTAAACTAACTAAAATGATAATGTGAAAATCGATATTGAAGATGGAGATAACAATCTCTTCTACAAACAAATGAAACAAGTCCTTGATATTCGATATAAAAGAGAAGTAAAATGGAAACATTTCCTTCAGATGCACAACGAAATAGGCAAATCTAGAATTAGAACTGATCAAAAATATAAAGGTTTGTTTACGGGAACAAATAAATACAATCGTGAAATTTTTTTCAAGACTTTGATTTTGCATGCTTATATAAAAAAAAAAGTAAAATTACAAAAATACTGAACTCCGAGGAAAATTCTAAACTGAAAGTCCCTAAATAAATGGCAAATTCAAAAGCTCAAACACATCAAACGAATGGATAACAACTGTCATATTCCTGACTTGGCACAGGCATAACCTATTGAACTATGTATTTATCAATATGATCAATTTAAACAACATTTTCGTAAAGTTCAGGTTATTTTTAGGATTAAACACGGAGTTTTTTTTCTAATTTACAGGTAAATTCGCGCACACGTACTACCTGTTGTTCGCGCTAACGAAATACTTATCAAATTCAAATTCACGCAAATGTAGGTCGCCCCTTCTCTTTTATCACATTAAAATATACAATATTTATTTGCACAAAACTTTTACACCAAATAGTTACATGTATGGCATGAAAATACAAACAATAAAACTGACATACTCATATGGTAGTGACGCTAGTGTCTTTCATATGGATTATTGCTGTTTAATGACTCCACATATGCGTGTATTAAGAACATCAATTGTATTATTAACCATATATAAAAATGTAAACTTACTTTGTACTTTACAAATTTAGAAGGATTTTCCTAATAATAGACATTCGTTTATATATTTTGTATTACTTTTTATGATACATTTAATTAGCGAACAGCTGTTCAACTGTTTGGGCATATGCCTCAGTGATATTAATGAATGCAATTTAATAACATTGAAATGAAATGTTTACAGTAACACGAGATTTAGATAACCTGTGATCCGGATTCAATCTTTGCTTTGTGTCTATAGTCTACCAGAATCCTACCTTAGTTATACACCTTTCCAGTCAGTTGCATACATTTTCTGAATAATTGGGTAAAGTCGATAGTGATCAATTCTAAGCAAAAACGTGTTTATGGATGCATAAATAGTTTATACAAGTATAGTCCATATATTGCTTGTTGGACTTTAAAACAAGAAATAATTCATTCATGTTTCGCAATTTTCTGACAGGATCTTATTCTTTCATCTGTACGATTTAGGAAATAAAGAATTCAACAATAAACTCATCATAGAAACCAGGATTGAAATTTTGTATTTGCACCAGACGCACGTTTCGTCTACAAAAGACTCATCAGTGACGCTCGAATAAAAAAAAGTTAAAAAGGCCAAATAATGTACGAAGTTGAAGTGCATTGAGGACCAAAAATTCCTAAAGGTTTTGCCAAATACAGCTAAGGTAATTATTCCTGAGGTAGAAAAGCCTTAGTATTTCAAATATTTAAAATTTTATAAACAGTTAATTTATAATAATGACCATATCAATGATAATTCATGTCAACACAGAACAAATAATACTCCAAAAAGAAGTAAAAACTATTCATTAAGATCAAAATTGTATCAAACTGGTCAGAACCCGTTTAAATGAAGAATGAATAGCAGAATATTGAATTAATACGTCCTTATACCATCAGTATAAAAGTACTGGAGCACCGTTTAATACATAATTATGTATCCGACCGTTAATTAAGTGTTTTGTTATTTCGATTCTATGGTACAAACGGAAAATTATCTATAAAACTGCTTCTGCAGATTTTCCCTATTCAATTGACAAGATGTAAGGCCTTCGATGTTTGGTCTATCTAATCGTGGATTAAAGCCCGAAAATTTGACATTAACTTCTTCAATGATTTGGTATAAGAAGCATCCTTATGTATAAAATATGAAAGCAACACGTTATAAATTTCATGCGTCCGAAGCGCTTTTCTGGATTTACCTTCATCAGGAACGCTCAAAGCCTAATATGTGAAAGCTTAAGTACATTTTTTGGGCAATACTATCCGATTGGTTGTCTGACAGTACTAAAACTAGTTTTAAAAAATCACTAAGAATTGAATGATTGAATGATTGATTTTTCGGTGTTTAAACGCCTCTTTAAGCACTATTGGCCATTCCTTGGCTGTCAGTGATTATTGGAGGAGACCGGAGTGGCTGGAGAGAACCACCGACCTTCGGCAAGAAAATACGATAGTTATGGTGCTAGTTCCATACTCTACAAGATAAATTACTTACTATGTACATAATAACATCTGAAATAACATCTGTTGATAGATCATCTATGGTAGCCAACACACTTAAAACGAGACAAGACACACATGCTACAAACCTGAAAGAAAAAGATTTCAATTTAAATTCAACAGAAAAACACCTTTAGAAAATAATAAGACCATCGTTCTCATTAACAACTCATTAACGCCGTGGCAACCGACTCAGAACCAGATTCTTATCATTCAATTGTTATACTGGTTCAATTATAGAATTTATAAAATATGAATACGAAGAGCAGTGGCGGATCCAGAGGGGGCAGGGGGTTCCGGGAGTTTGAACCCCCCTTTTTTTTGACAATCAATGCATTTGAATGGGGACATTTAGTTGGAACCCCCCTTTTATAAATGGCTGGATCCGCCTCTGAAGAGATTACAGATAGAGACCACAAACACACAAATTAAAGTAAAGTCTGCCGAGCACGGCAAACACCCTTTGTTTTCACTTGTTAACCCCAAATATCTTAAGAAATGTTATAGGTATGTGCAGTAGTGATAGGCATGAATACTTAAAAGTATCAAACATTTATATGTGCAAAAGGTCATAAAACTGAAAGTCGTAAAATGACCAGAATATGCCCTAATAATTAGATAATCTTTATGTAGGATCTGTGTACAGTGTACAAAATTTCCCAAACGTCTGATAAAACACGTAAAAGGAGTTGTATTTCTGTATTCTGAAAGGTTAAAAAAATCTAAGAACATTGGCATAACTCTTAGATTTGTCAACGGACCGTGGTGCCCTTCCAATATTTGAATCATAGAATGTTCAAAGATTTATGATTCTTTATTTAGTTGGCAAATTATTCTCAATTCTGTATACTCCATGAACATCCTCATTTACATGTACTTTATAATTTTGCATGGAAACCACACGTTGTTTTTTCTATTATAATCTCATTTACATTTTTTATAAATTTGACAAAATAGA